GAGAAGAGGAGTTAGCATAGCGATAGGTTAGAGGCAGCCATAGCTGCCATAGCTGTAGTTAGTAGTGAGTGTGTGTGTTCGAGTGTTAGAGTGATGCGTGCGGGATATCCAGGGTGATCCAGTGCATGTGAACAGTGAGATGTTTGGGCGCTGAAGTCGCCATAGCCATTTGAGAGTGAACTCGTATCTGAAGCCATATCTCTGAGTTTTGAGTGGGCGCATGTCGCCAGTGTGCTGCGTACTGTTTACATGTGTGAAAAGTGTGTTTGAAAGCGAGTCTGATTGCAATTAATTTATTATTACTTTTATAAAATACAAAATTGAAAGGATTCATGCATCTCAGAGTTCCAGTCCCGATTTTCCAGTCCGAGAGTCCCTTGTAACATAGGCCCCCCCCCTGTAGGAAAATTCCAACAGGCCTCGTAAATACATACAGTAGGCCAGCAGGTCCTAGGGCTGCATAGAGGCTTGGACCGTTATTTGTCGGTAGCTGTCAGGGGCCAAAATGCAGCTCAGTTCCAGGGAAGTCCATGAAACATTCGGATACATTGGAAATCGACCGAAGGCGACCGACATAGAAATACCGGTCCGGAAAGACCCAAATTTGGCAATGCATAGTTCCTTCATTCACTCTGCAGCACTGCTGCTGTCTTTGTGCAGTCAGACAGGAGTAGGAGTTGAGAATAGGGATCCGTCGACGGTGCTGGGCCCTGGTTGTCTTCCGTGTGGACCGAAGTGAAGTGTGGGAGGAAGGTGAACCGCCGTGCAAGGAAAAAGGTTGGCGGTTGCAAAGAAAAGAAAAGAAAAAATGAGAAAAGGCAAAGGACAATTAGTTGGTGGCATAGAGCCTGCAGCGTAGAGCGAAAGAGGAGTACTTCACCGAGCTTGGGAGTGAAGTACTTCTACCCCTAAGCCTTGTTGGTGCTGCGTCAGTCACGTTTGCGCTATCTGGAATTTGCCCAATCTTTCCTGGAAGTGGAGCTGCCGTCACCAATTTCTGGTGTGGCCAATTTGGTCTTGAGTTGTCAGGTGGGGTGCACGAGTGGATAGCTAGGGTCACCCTGCCGAAGGCAAGCGTGCAAAGTGGCTGCACGGGCATGAGCTGTGGGTGCTCGTTAAACAACCTGTCTGGCACTAAGATCGGTACCAACCAGCGTCCAAGTGAACCATGTGCGCACACGTGTTGACCAGTGTTGAGGGGAGTGTGTCCTTAGATTGGCTATTGGCCAGTCAACGGGATCCACCATACCCCAGTAGTGAGAGAGGTAATCGATGTGAAGTAGGGAAAGTCGACACCTTGGCAATGCTAGTAAAGTTAACCTATTTCAGGTTATTTTATGGGTAGGTCAAAGTGATAGAAGGAAGTGGAACAGGGCCATACCATGGCTGACTGTTGTACGAATCCCCCATAATGGACGATTACCCGATGCATGATATGCTGATCTACCCCACCATTTGGAGACATCTGTTGCAATTCATCTTCCTGTTAAGATTCCCTTGGCACGGTCGTACCCCACGTACGACATCACGAAGTGGACAGGAATATGTGTAGCCTGGCGAAGAAGGGTACAAACTACTACAAAGAGAAGAAGAAGACGGGGAAAGTACGTCCGCAGAAGGGGTAGAGAAGGAGGAGGAGACTGAAGGAGCAGCAGGGAAGAAGAAGATTCCCTGTGGGACCAGGAAGAGCCAGATAGCAAAGAATAAGACCCAATTGGAGCAGGCCCTTGAGAATGCCAGGAAGGATAGGTTGTGTGTGGAAGAGGAAGAGTGAACCGTGGCAAAGGCTAAAGAGAAAGCCGATAAGGTGAGAGATGATCTGAAGAAGAAGGTGATGGGTGTGGAGCAGCAGGGGATGGCTTCCATAGCCTCGAGGGGCGCTGACAGCTCATATACAGCCCTCGCCCAGATCCGTGAAATTTAGCGCTATTCTATTTGAACGTTTAAATACTTTCTACTCATATTTCAATTCACAAGTATTACATAAATCCTATGTCTCCAATTAAGTGGGACTTATTAGAGAATCCTGTTCCTATCCAACGTATATATAGCTTGGCTGGCCTACCTCTTTCTCTGGTGTCGATCGAGGAGCGCTCGCAGAATTTCCCAGTTTCGAAATCGCAAATTATATTATGAAAGCTTTATTGACTAATATGCCATAAAGGGCTTGTTGTTTTAAACCAGCAAATATAGAAATAGACTCAATACCTTTTGGAGGCCAAATAGCTCCAGTTTGTATGGGGAACCAGCCTTAAATGAAAGAAAACCCAAAAAAAGCTAAAAAAAACGCTACTTCTGATACATTGAACAAAATCATACCATGACTGGAGCAGTGCTGAATGAGTAAGATGAACTAAATCGTTTTTCCTCTTTCTTTTCATTTATTTTTAATTGAAAACTGAAGTGCAATCAGACTCGCTTTATTCCTCAACACGCATACGTGCAAACAGATGGCAAATCGAACTGGTGCCAGGCGCCCACTCAAACTCAGAGATATGGAACTCGAGAACACAGTTCGGATGCAAACTCGCTTCGACAGGCTATGGCGCAACAGCGCCTGTACATCCCACTTTCGTAACTGTGTCCACCGCTGTTCGCACACACCCTCGACTCTGGATTACCCTAAATACTGCATGCACGCGTGCTCTGTCTCACCTATCTCTAACCTCGGCGGCTATGGCCGCTGCTAACTCTACTACTAACACTGTCACTCTTCTCGCCCACTTCAACTACGGGCATCTGCAGACCACCTTCGCACAAGACGCTCGGGCAGCGCTTCCGCATGGCGCACAGCAGAATGAATGAATGGCTGGGCAGTGCCTCTTGATTTATACTTCTGTAAGACGTTGGTCTGCCCCTATTCCACCGGGCCCATGGTGCACACAGTCCCTCATGGTGCTTGCTGACTGTGCAAAGGGAGACTGGGACTGGGTACCGCTGACTAAGTGAAGTTGGACTCCACCACTTGCCCACTTGCCCCTGACAAAGTGGGACTGGGACTGGGTACTGCTGACTGCTCAGGCAATTTCGAAAGGCCACTTCTGGACCTTCCGGAAGTCTGTGGACTTGGCCTTTCGAGCACTGTAGCAGCTACGACGTTGACCTTTCAGGACTGTAGCAGCTACGACCTTGACCTTTCCGAATACCTACAACTACGACCTCGACAGAGCTGTGACTCCTAATCGACAGATCTACAGATCGAACACCTACCGCTACACAGACCTGCGACGTATGACAACAACTACCAAAACATAGGCCATGGGTTCAAACACTCGGGGGTCGACTCGATACTGTACATGGGCAAAGTGAGGTCTGGGGATCGGACTCTAGGGCCCGCATCTGTGACTGCAGAAAGGTGAAAACCGTTTCAGAAGTGAAGAAAACAAAATCAGGTTTTTGGCAGCCTCTTGCCCCTAGGGACAAATAACTACATAGCGACATGCCAAGTAGAACTAGCTGCAAATAGCATTTGGCGACATTAAAACTACCAATGACTCTTTTCAACTTTACCTGGATACGTATACAGTCAAATACATTTACAGTCAAATACATTTACAAAGAGCCCTGGGGTTTTGTCACATACCGATGTGGTGCAGACCAGAACCAAGAACCGACCTCTCTCACATAGCACAGGATAGCACAGCGGAAGACTGAAATACCAATGATCAGACCAATCAATGTCGCAATGCAGACCGAACATACATCATCCTTGCCTTGATCTTGGCATTGGGAGGTCTTGTGCTTGGTGCTGTTGCACCAATAGCAGCAGCCATACCAGCTGCGCCACTTGTATTCGGCCTCGGTCAAGCTAAACTTGACCCCTGGTACTGGCTGTCTGTTTCCGGCCGGCAATGCTGTTTTCGCCTTCCCTTTTCCACGGGATTTGTTGTTGCTTCGCGGTTGGACGGTGGCCACCTGATCTCCCTCACGTGATGCTGGGGTGGCTGTCGGGTCTCCCACAAGGTTGTCCGGTTGGACTGCAGCGACTGGCTGTGACACAGATTTCTCGTGTGCTGCCGCCTGGTTGGTCTTGATGATCTCACGAGCCTTGTCGATGATTTCAGCAAAGGTCATGTACTTTTCGCAATCACCGAGGGCGAGGCTCAAGGCGGCACACGACCGGTTATAGAACTCCCGGCGCAGATACGAAAACGGCAAGTCAAGATCGGGTGTTGCCACAATCTTTTGCCATTCTGTGAGCCAGTCACGTGTCGGTGTGTTGCCTTGAGTCATGGCGAAGAGGCGATTGATGGCGAGTGTCGGGGCGTCGTCAACGATAAATCGCTTCTTCCATTCCTTCTTCCCATGAGATCTTGGTGTGAAGGCTGGCGACCTGGACACCGTGGATGGTTGCCATGTGGTTGAGCCAGATCTGGCATCCGCCCTTGGAGTTGAGGTACAGCGCCGAAATATACTAGTAGGGAACCCGATGAATCCGAGTCTCCATCGTAAAGGACTGTCACCAGACGACTGGATCCTGCTATGTATAGTCGTCAAACTTTTCCGAACTTCTCGATCCGGAACGTCGGCATCTTGTACTGCCGCGGTGCACCAGTGCTGCCATCGTTGGCTGGCGGATGTTGTAGATGCCTAATCTCGGTCTTCAAGGTGTCGAATTGCTCGCTGATGGTGGCTGGTGCGGCGAAAGTGTTGATGTTGCCGAGCATTGCGAGTACGTGGTCGAGTCGTTGCTCCAACTGGCGGTTTGAGGCTGAATTGCTGGGTTTGCCAGCATCTGGTCTTGGTGCTGCTTGCTCCAAGTCTTGTACACAGGTATGAAGTGCCCACGTGGCATCCTCATGCATCCTCGTGCCCATCTGGTCTTGGTGCTGCTTGCTCCAGGTCTTGTACACGGGTATGGTTCCGCAGTGCTGCTTGCTCCAAGTCTTGTACACGGGTATGGTTCCGCACAGCCTGTCAGAGATTCTCCAGTTCCTGGTGCTGTTTCTCAAACTCGGACTGCAGTTGGTTACAGGTGTAAACCAACCGGGTCACAAGCTTGGAGAGGAACTCTTTGTGTTGCTCTTCCGATGTCGCGTCGTCGTGGCCCTCGGATGGTTCAAAGTGCCAAAACTTGAGCCTGTCGACGCTGGCGGCTTCGTGCCGCTGCAGCAGATCTCGGGCCTGCTTGCGGCGGGCCTGGGCATCGGCATCAGCTGCGGCCTGAAGCAGTTGCTGCCTCTGCTTCAGCCTGTGGGCGGGCAGCCTCGACTTCCGCTTGGCGCTGTTCCTCAACCTCGATCTGTGCGAGCTGATCTTGGACCCACTTGCGGAAATCGGCAATGGACTCGCCAACAAGTTGGCCCGACATGCCCAAAGCTGTAGCGGGCATGGTGACAGGGCACTGCTGACGTGGCACTGCTGCTGACGTGGCACTTACCAAACCGGGAAGGCAGACAAAGGGCTGGGTGGGAGGGAAACGCAGGTAAGCAAGCAAACTGCACTTTCCATTCCCGGTCCTAATCAACAGAAAAAAAAAAAAGGATTCCTCTCTTTTTTCTTTTTCTGAATATCCGTCGATCTGATATCAGACGCATTTTCTGAGAAGTGTATGAGTGTGATCTAGGCAAGGCTCGCAGAATTTTGAATTTCAAAAAATGCAATTTGAAAAAAAACAAGGATTTGTGCGAAGTAGAATCGAGGTTCGAATTTCCGAAAAGAATAAATCAAGGTTCCTTGGAAATGACCAACTCCCTAACCTAATTAACCTAACATGCCCTAATCAGAGCCCGAAATGCTAACATCGCAGTTTTCCGAAAATTTCGGAATTCCGGATTTCGCAGAATTACGAAAATTTCGGAATTCCCTATTTTACGGAATCACGAGATTTGTGGAATTTTGGATTTCATGGAATCACGAAAATTGCAGAATTCCGGATTTCGCGGAATTCCAAATTAGTAACTTGAGAAAACAAAAAAGAGTTGCAGGAAGTTGACAAATTCCTACTTGATTAACCAATTCATCAATCAATCAATCAATCAATCAATCAATCAAGCTACCTCCTTGATTGTGCTCATCCTCTGATTGAGAGGTCTGCTCCGATACCAAACTGTCGCATACTGATGTGGTGCAGACCAGAACCAAGAACCAACCTCTCTCACATGGCACAGGATAGGACAGCGGAAGACTGCAATACCAATGATTAGACCAATCAATGTCGCAATGCAGACCGAACAGACATCATCCTCATCACAAGGTGTGAAGGGGCCTGGTACCACAAATAGGAAGAATGTGCCAGGCTCAGATCATACACAGATGAGGAAGAGGGGGATCAAATGAAGAGGAGGGTGGAGATGAGAATGTTGTTGATATCGATCCCAATTGTCCCCCACCCAGTGTCTCTGCTCAAATGTCGAGTCTGAATCCGAATGTCGCCAAATCCCAAAGTCAGGAATCTCTCTCTCTTGTAGTCTAAGAAGTCAGGAAGCTGGAGGGTAGGGGAGAGATGGTGGACTGGAGGAAGAAGAAGAAGAAGAGCTCTCTTTCTCTCTGTGCCAGGTACTAACCTGTGAAAAGGTGGCGCCTTGCTGCCGGTACATCGAAGACGAAGCTGGAGCGATGACGTCACCGGTAAGCTCCCAGGTAAGTCCCTTGGCCTCCGCCACTCTCCTCCCTCTCAGCGCTACCCTAACGTCCTAGCAGCGCCCAACGCTGGAAGACTACTCCTATCGTCACCTTCTCAGCTGCAACACCTTCGGAGAGTGCCGCTGCTGAATGCCTGAAGACTCAACGCCAGCCTCCTATGCGGACCAGCTATATATAGTGCTGGTCCGGCTGGGAGGCTGCCTTCACCAATGTCGAACGGCACCAGGGCCTGGCGCCCAAACGGTCTGGCGCATAAAGTTGGCGCCCAAATTCGAAAAGGCCGGAATTGAAAAAGGCCTACCTCGGCCTGGGCGCCTACTGGGCCTCTACCGGAGTCTGGCGCCAAAACGGGCGCCAGGGCCTACCTACTGGGCCTAACGACCTACAGGACTCCCTAGGCCAAACGACATGGGGCCTGAAAAGGGCCCCTTCCTACTCTGAACCGACACAGGGCCCGAAAGGCCCCTACCAAACCCGTTATCCTACCTGGTCGGGTCCTGCAGGGGCCCGTGTGGTACTCAGTATGCCACAGGTTTAGTCCCACAAGTGGAGGTTTACTCTTCCTTTCGAGTATTTTTCAACGTGGCCTCAGTGCGGCTGGGAGATGTTCAGATCAGAAGTGCCAGGAACCGGTGCATACTTTAAACCAAGCTTAAACCCCCGCTAGTGCAACCTAGCCCCTGGTGTGTGATGGCCTTACAGCAAAGGCATCAACCTGGCAGCCCCTTCCCACAACTCCACAGCATTGCGAAAGGCCCTACGGCCCGACGGGACTGGTACCCTCCAACGGCAAGACCCCACAAACAAGGATCAAAGCTCCAGTTCCCCGGACCCTGAATCGCCAGACCGAAATTTGTGCGCCGAAAGAATCCATGTCGTGATGGGTTTGACCAGTGCTTGCTACTCGTCTCACAGGCATTGCTTTAATAGCTGTTTTATTTGCATGCAGTCGTGAACCAAAAATTACTTAACAAATATGATGTGAGACCTACTCCTTTCCATCCTAACAACATTCGATGGGTCCTTTCCTTCTTGGACAGCTCCCTATCTGATTCTGCTGTGCTCAGCTCTGGAAAGAATCAAACCGTTCGGCACCAGGCTGGTACATCCAAAGAGTGGCCTCCTTGTGTACCGCCAGAAGTTTTAAGTCCAGGGGCCCCATCCCGGTGGTTAAAACCACCATTACATGGCCCCAGGCAACTGGAGAACCTATTTTGAGCCTCTCCAGAAATTTAGGAGGCCGAGCGCCGTAGATAAAATGAATCGGCGGCGAGCGGCCTCCGAAAGGGGCCCGTGGCCGATAGCTGGCATGTACTGGTGCTTTAAGAGAGAATGATGGCCATCAATTGTAGTTATCTACGGACAGTATCTCTTTGAGTTATCTATGAACACATCTAGAAAAATCTAAAAACTCTAGGACCATCCCAAAAGGATTATGTAATTTGTTCGCCCTAAACCGGTCTCCAGGACTGCCCTAAAAGGATTTCTCTAATGAGTTCGCTCTAAGCTGCTTTCTCTTCTTTTTTTTTCTTTTTTTTTCTTTTTTTGAACAGCACCCTCTGTAGTGCTAGTGGTGTTGGTAAAACCCAACACTACTAGCACCCAGGGATAGGCTCCATCTATTGGTGGGGAGCATCACCTGCTGGAAAACGGGTCCAGCGTCCCATGTACAAAATACAGAATACAGAATGAAACAGCCTGTGACAGCCAGTTGACTGGGGGACCTGCCAGCATTGATTAGTCTGGTCTCCAAAGGATTGACTGTGCAGGTCGTTTAAGAATAGGGAAAAACCTCTTCGCCCTCTTGTCGGGCGCCAGATGTCCTCTCCTGAAGAACTAGTTCCGCCCACCCTCTTTGTTAGAACAGATGAGAGAATCTAACTGGTCATGAAAAGACGTTTTGCTGGAAACCGGGTCCAGCGTCCCATACCATTGGCAATGAGCTAAACCGAAGGGGTGGGGGAGGGCACTGGGGCGCACCAGTGGATCCTCCTTCCACTCCATTCCTTTTATCTTCTTATCATCATACCAAGATTTCCGCCAGGGAAAGGGCATGGGGGGGGAAGGGGTCCGGGAAGTCTGTGGGGGGGTGCAAGGGGAATGAAGGTTCCACCTGGGTCCACTCCTTGAATACCAAATTATAATCTCTTGATACCTCCAAAGCTTGTTGATCCCCAACTCCATCCCCTCCCCATGTTACTTTTGCCACCCATCCCTCCCCTTCTCCTCCCAACCAATCCATACAAAATGCGGTAATCCCTTTTTTGATATCAGTAGTTTGTGTAAAAAGATCCAGTTGTGACTTTGCGTCAGACCACCTCCGTATGAGTGCTAACTGCACCTGTTGCTCAATCTGTTCGATGACCTCCGCCCCCTCGAGTCTTACCTTTTCCATGGCCAGAACACACCTCTGGTTTCAGAGGGCCCACATCACCGCTCTCCTGCCCAGAGTGAACATATTTTCTACAAAGGCTGAAACTTCCCCTGCCAAAGGCCAGTGATCCATTAAAATAGTCCGCCAGGACCATGGCCAGGGAGGACCAATTACCATTCCTCCAAATTTGATCCCACCACCTCCACATAAACTGGGCTATCGAACATTGCATAAAGATATGTTCGATAGTCTTTGCCTTTCTATGGGCAAGGAACATTTGTAGACATCGCTGACACCACGGTAGCGCTAGGCCTTTCTCCTCCAGGTTGGTTCGCTCTATTAACCAATCATTTGTAGGCAGACAGCGATGTGTTATCTGCCAAGGAAGAGATTTTTGCATGTTTGGTTTTCTGGTCTTGAAACCATCGAAGAGGCGTCATAAGAGATCAATCCACATTAAGTTGTTTGGCCCAACGATCAATAACCACATCCCTTGAGCAACATTTGGGCCTAAGCATCATGTATGCAGATTTAACTGTCAGCCTGTAAAGGGTTGTCTGACCTGTTGCACTTCTCTTTCTCTTTGGGGAGGGTGACCAGGTCCATTCCAAAGGGTCCAAGGGTAGCTCATGGACGACCCATTGTGGTTGACAGGGTACCTTCCCCCTTTTTTCTTTCATTACCCGGATCCGATAGACCTGTTCTACCTCTATCCATTCAAAGGGGGCTCTACTTCCTTCTAGAACCCCCATTTGTATGTTCTCATTGAGCTCCACTAGGACCATTCGAGGGTCTACCCTGTGGATTTGACCAATGCGCAACGGTCCCTCCTTGGTCGCTATCCAATCCCCTTCCTTAAAGCCAGGTCCTCGTTTGAGAATTTGATACCATGCCAATGAGACGGTTTCAATTATGTCTTCCAAATGTTTCTCGAAGTGGTGGCAATGGTACAGGGATTCTTTTAGTTGGACTGCTGTTTTCCAATCCCTTCGCTCCTGGTCCCAAAGATCCCCTATCCTAAGCACCCCTCGATTGACCCAACTTTTCCATGGTAGGTCCGAGCTCGACCTGATACAACCCCGCCCGTCTGTCAGACATCGGTTGCTGAACAAAAGTTGTTTGTAGATCTCCTCCCAACGGTCCGGGGAGGTTTTCTTCGGGAGGGGAAGGTTCCTCCACACAGCCAACAAGGATGGCCAGACGTTGTCATTTAACTGGCCCTCTCCGTTCCACTCGTCTCCCCTTGTCCACGAACGGTCCTCTAGCCAAGTTAAGGAGTGCACTCCTTGCGGGGCAGCTGGAGTCAGTCAAGCTAGGTGCTCCAAGGCCAGTGTACACCACGGGTTGTGGAGTGTGAATATTAGTCTCTTGATCCACTCAAGTCTCAAGGCTTGAATCTGTGTAGCGAGGTCTATGATCCCCAACCCCCCCTAAGCTTTTGGCTGAATAATCAAGTCCCACGCTACTCTGCTAATAACCTTACCGTTCTCACTGTCCCCCCTCCATAGGAAGGCCTCTGCCTTTCTCCTAAGTTGTTTCAGTGCCCCCTTGCTCAAAGGCCAAAGAACCGATTTATATCATTAGTGTTGCAAAAGCAACATTGTTTAGAACTAGTGCTCGACAAAAAATGGAGGTGTGTTTGTTGTTCCCGTTGCCCAAGCTTTTGTATGGCTGGAGTACTAATCCATTCATCGTTAGTTGGTGGGCATCCCTTCGCTGTCATGG